GGAGTTTTTCTGACAAAAGTGGCCCAAAAACAATATATTAAGCTTAGAAAATATTTGATGGTTTCCTAGGGGGTAACTTGTGAAAATAGAGTCCTGTGGGATAAGATTTCGTCCGTTTGGCTCTATCCCTCACCGTTTAGGCGATAGATGGAGTTTCTCTCACCAAAATGGCCAAAACAGAAATATTTTTATTTTTTCAGAAGTACACTTCTGTCCGAGAAGTATGCGGCCGGTTCAAAATTCTCTTCTAAGCAGAAGAGTGGGCTTATTTTATGGTGGCACATCATTAATAAAACGTGTACACTTCCATGCCAAAAAAAAAAAAACACAAAAAAAACAACACATTTAGTTTTTTGTTGTTTGAACACGTTCGGTGTCATTCAGAGTATGCCTGGAAGTATATTTCACTTCTAGTTCTAGTCTTATGTGCATTTTCATAGGTGTGTTATGGGATTCATAAGCTAACATCAATAACTTAAGATTTCGGCATAACTTGCATGTATTCTACAAACTGCGGCACACACAGCCAAAGATGTTCAGCGTATGAAAAGAATACTTCGTTTGTTGAGTTTTACTTACGAAGTAGACTGAAAAGGTACCTGGCAAAAAGATGGTTCGAAGCGAGCCGTCACTCAAACGGGCCGAAGGCCCGTTTTCGGATAGAAGATGTATTACACCATAAAAATTCAGAAGGGACGGGCCGAAGGCCCGTCCCAAACGCCGCCGGCAGGCCAAGCTGGGCCCGCTCCCTGCCGAACCGAGTTGCCGGTGGAGCGAAGCGGAGCTGGCAACTTGGTTTGGCGGAAGAGCGGGCCCAGCTTGTTAAATCTATTCTAAGTAGAAAAGAAAAAAGAAAGTAAGATGTCTTCTTTAAACTTGATGTCAACGGCTTTTGACTCGGAAAAGTTTTATCTTTGAGTATCACTAAAGTAATTGCCTCACACTAATGAGGCTATGCATACCTATTTAGAATGCTATTCCATTATCAAACTTAAAACTACCCAACCCCAAAAAAATAACATGAAAGTGTTTAGGGATTTTATATTATATTAGTTTTGTATTTTTGTTTTTGTGTGTGTTTTTTTAAATGCACTTACTGTCTCATAGCTGAGAACAGTTTTTCTTTGAGGAAATCA